TTGAGAAGTTGAGACAAAGTTCGTACCTGAGAAAGTTACAAAAGCTATAGTATTACAATGGTGAAGTTATACGGTTAAATATATTTATTACAATTATGAAGTACATGAAATTTCAACATCAATAAGAAAAAGATAAAAACAAATGAATTGAAATTAGAGAACAGCGACAGCGAAATAAAATGGATTGATTTAATCGCTTAACTCATCACATATATAAAAGTTCCTGGTCTTTATACCTCTGGGAAATTTCGGTACGTTAAATTAGATCTAAAATCCAATGAGTGTAAACACAATGATTAAAGTTTAGTGTACATTAGTAAACTATAGGCGATATTCCAAATAGAAGATGAGAACAGATGTTATCGCTAGAGTTCGATCTCAGTAACATCCTTCCGATAGCTTAAACATCACGGGACTGAAATCACATATCTAAAGAAAATATTTGAAAGAACCTTTAAGAAAATCCAATGAGTGTAAACACATGTATTTAAATTTGGTATAGATTAGTAGTAAACTATAGGCGTTATTCCAACCAAAAGATGAGAACAGATGTTATCACAAGAGTTCGATCTCAGTAACATCCTTCAGATAGCTTTAACATCACGGGACTGAAAGCACATATATAAAGAAAATTATTGAAGGAACCTTTAAGAATAATACAATATATCACAGACAGTACATAGGATCATATAAACAGTATCCAGTAACTCAAAGGACACTTGTGGTTGCTGGCAAAACTCGTTAATCTCATTAGGTATCCGCAATGTATATGGAAATATAATTCTTTAATATAATATATAATAGCTAATATTAAAGGTCAATATAGGCATAAGTCAGGAATTTGTTATTGAAAAAGTTTGTTAAAATAAACCCGAAGTTTAAGACATATATACCTAGTGATATTAAGTAAGTTTCTAATCAACTTCAATGCACTGCAGGTTTTGACGTAATTTTTTTTTATAATAAATACGATCTATGTTAACCCGTTAACATTTGTATCAAATTCTTTGTTTAGGAGAGGCCATATAGATAAACAAGTTGTAAATATTTTCAATAATTGAGCTTACTTTGAAGTTCAGTTATACAATCTTCGACAACCATAATCAGCTATCACACATTTACGTTAATGGATCTACAGTAAATAATTGAACGAAACCGATCATGACGATACAAAAGAAAAATTTATGCTTATGAAAATGGCTGTAAATAATTCAACAGTAATCAATGATGGAACCAGAAATAAAGAACACGGTGGGAGGCAGACAGTGAGAACAAGTCTGTCTGAGGCAGACAGTGAGAACAAGTCTGTCTGAGGCAGACAGTGAGAACAAGTCTGTCTTAAACCAACTATAGCAGCGCTGTTAACTTGTTATACTTGGACACAAAAAACCTCAAATATTTAACATTAACGTCTTCATGCAAATAAGTAAACACTTGATTAGGGGAACAATAGACAAATGAGCTAACATAAGTTGTGCATTGAGAAAAAACATAAAAGTAAAGAATATGGTGAGAAAACAACAAAATATATTAATTTCTTCTAACTCGCACCTTGTCTTGATGCACACAAGAGTTATTATTTAGTCAGTGCAAGTGACAACTGTAGAACACAAATGAATTAAAACTACATTTATATATGATTATTTATAGACAACGTTATTAATAACGTAATAATAATAAAAGAATAAAGAAATGAATAAAGAATAAAGCCGTGATCAATGTTATTGAGAACTATTATTTAATCAGTGCAGGTGACAACTGGAGAACACAAATGAATTAACACGATATATATATAGGCGGTTATTGATAGACAACGTTATTAAAGCCGTGATCAATGTTATTGTCAGTAACGCTTATTTAAACTACATGTACAGTTAATACTAAAGACCAGGCACGGTTATAGGCCTATGCAGAAGGAACGTTTTTATGGTGGTAGCAGGAATCAAATTTCCCTTTCTGAGTCTATTAATCCTTCAGGTTTATAATTGGCATAACCTGGGCCATTAACAGAGTTTTGAGTCTGGCCTAATACGAAATTGGTAACAATGATTAGAATCTGGTCACATTTATCAATAAACTTTGAGCAATTTGTTCGAATCTATTAATCATTAAGGTTTATAATTGGTATAACCTAGCGCATGAACAGATTTTTGAGTCTGGCCTAAAACGAAATTGGTAACAATGATTACAATTTAGTCACATTTATCAATAACTTCCAATCAATTAGAGTCTGTAAGTGTAGACGAGACAGCAACAGAAAGTGCCTTCAATAGGTACCACCCACAATACTGTAACACACATAACTCATAACTACAGGGTCCTCCAATAAAACCTCCCTGATTTCAATAGGCTTTTGCTAAAATCACATGACACATACAAAACAATTAATTTTATTTGTGAATAGCTTATTTGATGCCATTTTACATCATTTAGTGCATTTTACTTGGTTTTGAAAATTATGTACGATAAATGATGTCCCCCATTGTTAAGACATTCACGAAGTCTTTCCCTGAAGTTGCCCATAGTTCTTCTGTAACTTCCCTTGGAATGGCTGCCACTTCCTGCCTAATGGCATGTTTTAGTTCTTGCCGATTTCTGGGACGATGTTTGTACACTTAAGCCTTTAGGTAGCCCCACAGAAAGAAATCTATGTTCAACCATGGGCTGATTTTCGTGGTTGTGTTGTTATACTTTCATTAATAATGTCTGATGTTCAACCATGGGCTGATTTTCGTGGTTGTGTTATTATTTCATTAATAATGTCTGATGTTCAACCATGGGCTGATTCGCGTGGTTATGTTATTTTTCATTAATCTTCACGTCCCGTGTTGGAAAATTCTGTTGATTTGTTGATTGTTGCGGTCTATGGTTGACCATTTCCGTATGTTTGCAACGGATATCAACTAATAGCAACGACGTCGCTACTATTTCAAGTCACGACGACGAATGTAATGGACGGCAATAAACAACAATATTATGGCTGAATACTAGAACATTTTTTTTAAGTATTTATCGTGTTTTCTCTGCCTGTTAGACGCGCCAGAGTCAACATTCCGTTATTCCTGTAACTTTTTTCAATGTTCTAATTCAATTATATTTTTATCATTCAGTGAATTAAATCTAAGTCATGCATGATTATTTTCTCACATACAATGATCGAGAAATAACTCAAGACTGAAAGCTAGATTGCAATTTCTTTTTATACTTATTTAAATGCTGGGTCAGATTTTAATGGAGCAATAAGGTACCCCACTTCCTACGTTGTCGTTATAAAGTCTGTGATTTTAATAAATTGCAAAATATTTGACTGTCTTTGTCGTCGAAACGAGTAGTCTGTGATTTAATACGAATAAAGTGCAAAACATTTCAGTCTTTATCGCGGAAACGAGTTCCCGTTTTGACGCAGGCAGTGAAGTAACACCTGAACCTCGTCATCTTTGATGACGGTAGCAAATTTTTAGTTATCAGTTAGTTAGTTAGTTAGTTTAGTGACCCTATGATTACTAGCGCTTCAGCTGCTAAGCTATCTCGCGCCGAATGTCACGTTGGGCATTATGGGCTTCCGGCGACGCATCTTTAAAATGGCCGGCGACGCTTTGGGCTTAAAAATCCATATATTGCCAACGCTGCATCCACCCTCTGCATAGTGGGGAGGAGGCAGAGACAAATGGGAAAGATGGGGGGGGATTCACTGCCCACTGGGGTGGAGTGCGTTTGCCAGGATTGGGAGCAAGCAAGGTCTAGGTGAGCAGCCAAGAGAATTTCCCTTAGCTGCTACCTGCTAATGCTGCTAGTGCTAGGGAAAGTCTCGGAAAGAGCTCTCTTACCCTGTGCACTGTGCAGGTGGTCAATGGTGCATGGTGGTAGGACCATATCCATAGGTATTAGTCTATTAGAGTGGATAATTATCATATAATCAAGATTATCCTATTACAGCATCAGCAGAGACTTGTTCAGTCCAAAAATGGCACTTAAAAATAAAATAATTGTCGTGTTTAAGGTTTTTGAACAATACTCATAACTCTGCAAGATGTAGGATTGTAGGTTTTTTAGGATAATTCTCTTGCAAGCAGCAGATTAAGCTGTATTTTTTTAAAACAATGGATTGAGCAATTCAATCAGAATCTCAATCTTCTCTCTTTATGTAAATGGTTGTGCAGAGTAAATAGCCTGGTCTGCTGTTCAGCTGTTGCATCCTGATCCTGGTGTTGCAGTCTTGCAGAATATGGCCATTTTTTTCTGGCAGTTATAGGCTAGTTGTAGATTAATAGATTTATTTATTTTCATGTGCAAGATTATTTCCACCACAATGCACATAACTTTTATGGTCATAACTTGTGCAAGAATGGCTTATGGCTGCCAGATATGTAAAGCAGCTGCACAGGCTGAGCCTGAGGCCCTGAGCCATGCCACACATGTTTAGGGTTGGATAAATGTTTAAGTGTGGGGAGTGGGGACCCCTCACTTCATGGAAAACATCTTCTCCTTGCCATTTCACCCAGACCTTGTCACCTTGCTTCCTTCCTATGTTACAGCTGTCTCCAAGCTGCAGCCTTCCTGACATCCCTCCTCCTGTCAATAGCCCACCTCCTTCCTCTCAGGGTTTCCCCTCAGAGTCTGCTTCCTGAGCTGCCCCCTTGAGGTACCTGAGCCTCTTGACTCAACAAACAACACCAACAACAATACCGTACTTAGCAGCTCTAGTTAAATTGCTAGTCATTACAAGCCTCAAACCTACAAAGACTTTGAGGTTTGACTTTGAGGATTCAGATTCAGAATATATTAGCAACTTCAATGCCATAAAATTTAAGGAATATTGTCTATTTCTCCACATGGTCACTATGGGGAGAAATGGAAGATTTTTTGTTGACAGCACAGCATGGCATGGTGTGCTGTAACTGCTGTAAGCAGTACACACTATGGTGTGCCTATAAGTATGTGAAAATTCACATTTATAGAACTGTGATGCTTTAGTATAAAGTAAAATTATCCCCCCTTTGTATACCAGTTTTCACAACTTGTTCCAATTTCTGTTCAATGTGTTTTGGTGGAGCCAAGGTAGGCACTCCAAGAATTTGTCATGACAGGCTCAGGAGAATCTAGTGGGATGCTAAAACCAGGAGAAGTGATCAAGCCATATGTTGCTGATAAGGAAGTGCCTTCTTTAGTGAAGAAAACTTTTGGTCTTGATGTGATATCATTCACAAAGTTCAATGCCTACGATGATCTAAATTTTCATATTAAGGTGAGTAACTTCTTATAGATAATAATAGTTCCATAAGTAATAGAATACTATTTAGTGATTTATTTTCCATGTTTTAAGTATGACTCATTGAATGATACATCTGTTCAATCTTGTTCATTGTAACACTATTGTTGCTGGTATTTGCTTTTTCTTGATCCTTCTTGTCTGTGCCTATTGCTTGTGATCAAATGGAATTTACTATTAAAAAAATTATGCTGCTATTTTAATGTGTTTGGACAATGGAAAAGTCAGTATAAAGTAATCAATAAATATATTTTACAAGTACATGTCAACTGTTAGGTGGAACTAAGTATAAACCTGGGCCAAATAAAAATATGACTTTGGGCAAGTTTGATTGAAGACCAGAGAAGGTTTTTATTGATAATTTTCTTGTTTGTCTCCTCAATGAGTCAAACAAAATTTCTTGCTGGTGTAGACAGATCATGAAGCAGAACTCGTAAATAAATCCTTGAAAAGACGAAGAAGAAAATTATAAATGAAAAATATTCTCTGGTCTTAATCCAACTTGCATACAGGAAAGGCTTCAGCTAAACTATACCGTACCAATTTAGTTGACTTAAGATATGTACAGAGTATGACGAGAAATTTATTTTATATTGAACCACTATTTTAGAACTGAGAAATGTAAAATCTCTTCATTTGATCCATTTCTTTAATGGAATTCCTCCTAACCATATTACATATTAGTTCATGGACCTGAAGTAATGCGACATATAACGTCTACAGGTAAAGGAGACCAGCAATAATGAGTACATAACATCACCAAGCAGTGATGGATATGTCTTCAAAATTATTAACTCAAAGGACTCAAAGCTAACTTCATTGTTGGAAGGCCAGAACAACTTCATGCTCCACCTGAACTCAAAAAACTATTGCTGTCCACTACCCCTGAAATCTTTGAGTGGAAAATACCTGGCAGAGGTGGAGCTTCCTTCAGATCCTAATGCTAGTGAGAAAATGATTAGTTATTCAGCTCTTGTGCCTCTGTTGGTGCCTAATCATTGCAAGTTTTGCTGATAAATTTGTTTTAATTTGAAATTTTCTATCAATATTAGAAAATTTTTTTTAACATTAATAAAATATCTAGTGGGCAATCCCATTCACAGTGGCCAACCAGAGATTTAATAGATAAGTTCATTCTAAATTTCCTTTTTTACTCAATATATGATATCACTTATCCAATATTGTAACCATTATACATATACATGCCCATGTTGTCAGATGCTGTCCAGAAGCAAATATGATATCACTTATCCATTATTACAACCATAATACATAAACATGTTCATGTTGTCAGATGCTGTCCAGAAGCATGCAGTGAAACTACTGACCTTCATCCCAGGCCAGACTTTAGCATCTGTTCCTCTAACTCCTCAACTCTGCTCAGAAGCTGGGGCTTATTTGGCCAATATGCATCATGATCTTGAAGCAAGTTACCCTTGTATATATAAATAGTAAAATAGTTTTTATTTATTTTACTAATTAACTTGATTGCATTTAGTTCCTGCATGTTTTTCTTCATGAATTTCCAACTAAAAATTTATTTCTAATGTGTTTAATTGTATTAATGAGCATTCATTATACAACTTCTCACTTCAGCTTCTACTCACAGTTCTCAATTTGTGACAATAAAACCATTTCTTTAACTCTTGAACAATAGATTTGCATATTTATGGTACCTGTATTTGGTTTTCTAGCTTTACTAGAACCCACATGAAAATGTTGAAGAATAAGTAGTTTAGTTTACTTTCAAACTATTACCTTTTCAGCAAAAAAATATTATTTATGGATTTTCTCTGATTTGATGTAAAGTCAACTTAAAAGCAATTAACATATTGACCAACAATAGTAGTACTGTAGTTGTCATGGATTTTTTTTTGTTGATTATGTTGAAAATTTTTTGTATCCACACTTTATTAAAAAAGTTTCCATCACTATCTATTCCCTAGGACTGCTTGCATTTTCATAAATTATAAAGAAGTTTTCAATAATTTAAGAAATTCCCAACTTATTACCACTAATATTTTTTAAATTAGCCTAATGAACTTCTCAGGGTTTTCAAGATGAGGCCATTTCTGCACGTCGTTTTATTTGGATGATGTCAGAGACTCCGCAGGTCCGTGCATTTGTCCATGCCATCACCAACTCGGAGAACCGGGACCTTGTCACTTCTGCCCTTAATGCGTGGGAGAGCCAAGTCTTGCCTGTCATTGGAAACCTCCCTAAAGGTTGGCTTCATTATTTATTTTATGGTGTCATGGTGACACCATAAAATAAAAAAATATAAAATAAAAAATATAAAAATAAAAAAATAAAAATTTTTCATAAAATTTCAATTAGTTTACGCTGCATTCTACCTTGTTCTTTCCTGCTTGTGACTATATCTCTGGTGGTCCAGGTAAATATTACTTCAATTAAAGTTTTGTAAGCTAAATATATTTCCACTTTTTCTCTGTTGTTGGAGTAGTATGTAATAACAGCCTGCATGTGTATGTCATGGTTGTGGTTCTCAGTTGTTGTCATTTTGTTATTGTTATAGGTAGTTTTTGGTGTTATTGTCAAGTTTTTGTGATATTGTTGTAGTTTTGTTCATGGATTACGTACTACATGTTACAACCTTGTTGGCTGCTTGGCTTCATTAAAATTTTTTTATGCATAAATGTATATTTTTTCCCATGCTTTTAACACTTTCTGTTAGAATTTTGTACTTACTGGAAGTAGGTCTTGTTTGCAATTAGCTATTGATAAAAGGAAAGAGCTATATATTAATTTTGTTGGGTATTAAAATTCGAAGAATTCCCAATGAAGAATAGGTATGTCAAATCAAAGAATTCAGCTTCTGCTCAGTTGTGGGCTGGATGGGAATTTGGCATGTGTGGTAAGTGCTGCACCATTCATTAACTTGTACTAATTATTGTAAACTTTTGTCTAAAATCATGGTAAAACTCATGTTTAGTCTAATTTTGTAGCATTCATCCCATCAGATTTGTACAAAAAACAGATAATTATTAGGTAAAGGACTGATTATACAGATAACCAGATCAATATCGTTGCATAAACCAAATTTGGCAGACTCATCAACACAACAGGCTTGATTCTTATTAATTTGGATGACAATTATTACCTATAATTCATATAATGCCTTTACAATAAACTTAAACTCAATACTAATGCCTTTACAATAAAGTTAATAAACATGTGAGTTATTCGAAGCTCTAAGTTGTTGCGTTCTGTCAGGTATTGTACACGGGGACTTCAATGAGCAAAACATCCTCGTGAAGCCTTCCCCTGACACGAGACATGAACCTCATCCCACTTACACAGTCCTGTGAGTGACGCTTGTAGATGACACTTCATGAGTTTATTGTAACTGTAGCTACAATATATGTAGCTTGTACAATATGTAGCTTGTAGAGTTTATTGTAGCTTATGAGTTGAAGTTAGTTGAATTTGTCATACTACTTCTCAAATTCCTTCATCTACATAGCAATTAATGAAAGTAAGGAAGCTTATGAATTGCTGGATTGTGTGTTGAAATGCAATTCTACATCAATGATAAAAATAAGTATACCGGTACTAATTATATTGGAAACAAATATCGATAATGAAGTCTATTAATGCATGAAGTTCCAAAGATGGCCCCTAAGGTGTCAATCTCTACACTGCATCTGTGTCAGTAGTTATGTAATTTTTTGTGATTGAGTAGCACTTGAAAGTTTCATAGTTGTTCCATAGCACCACCTACCTTTAACCAAAGTTATTAGCCTCCAATTTGTATTATTATTTGCATTATATCATATTTTTTATGCTAATAATTAGTGTATTAAGTGTATGTACTTTTTTAATGTAATGGTTGGGTGCTGATACAAGGCTGGTGGCATGTGGTGAAAATGCAAATCATTGCACTTGCATGACTCAGTTTGGGTCACATGACTCAGTTTGGGTCACATGACTCAGTTTGGGACGCATGACTCAGTTTGGGATGCATGACTCAGTTTGGGACGCATGACCCAGTTTGGGATGCATGACCCAGTTTGGGATGCATGAATCAGTTTGGGACGCATGACTCAGTTTGGGTCACATGACTCAGCTTGGGATGCATGACTCAGCTTGGGACGCATGACTCAGTTTGGGACACATGACTCAGTTTGGGATGCATGACTCAGTTTGGGATGCATGACTCAGTTTGGGACACATGACTCAGTTTGGGATGCATGACTCAGTTTGGGATGCATGACTCAGTTTGGGACACATGACTCAGTTTGGGACGCATGACTCAGTTTGGGATGTAGTTTGGGACGCATGACTAAGTTTGGGACGCATGACTCAGTTCGGGATGCCTGACTCAGTTTGGGACGCATGACTCAGTTTGGGATGCATGACTCATTTTGGGAATCGTTTGTTCTATATTTATTAGACTCGTGCTTGATTTCTTCCAGATTAGCAAAAAATATTAAAATGACTTTGAAGCAATTTGTTCCAAAGTTAATTATTACTGTAATGATTTATTACTGGACTTCTATTGATGGTTTAGTGTATTACCTCCTTTTTTCCAGAGGTAATCAATACTTCAATACTTCCTGCAGGAGAAGGAATTCTCAACACTTTATCAACATTCATGTNGGTTATTAGTTGATGATATTTATTATGTCTGTTCAGAAACTGATGCAAATTTTTTGCTGTTGCAACCTAAATTAAACTTTATTACCCTGAATATATATAGGTACCTATACTTAGATTCATATATAGGTATGTAAGAAAGTTGTGAATTAGTTACCTATATCTGTGATACTACTGTGATAAAATGTGATACTACTAAAAATGTGATACTATAGCTGCATTGATCAGTTTAGTCATATTCCACAAATTTGGCTTAACCACAACATATTGTCCTCAATATCTCTTGCAGTCCAAAAAGTTACACATATTACTTTTGCAGAGGCTGCATTGACTTCGGTGACGTGAGCTCAAGCTGCTACGTGTTCGACTTGTCGGTGCTGGTGATGTCGCTGCTGACGGTGGACAACAACGACGCCGTGGCCGCCTCCTGTATCGCCGGATACAACGCCACGCGCCCTCTCAGCCACCTTGAGTGGCAGGTGCTCTATGTGGGTGCCCACTACAGGCATTATTGGTTGTTTTATTCCAAGCTCAGGGCCTATACTTTCAAAAAAAGATCTCTATGTGGTTGCCCTCTACAGGCAATAGTGCTTGTTTTATCCTAAGCTCAGGGCCTATACTTTCAAAAAAAGTTAAGAGATCGTAAACGTATCCTTCATGGGAGCCTCTCATGTCTATGGCATCCCTGAACATGCAGATTCTCTGCCACTGAAAAACACTGCGTGCGTATTTATCTTTAACAATGACTGAAATATTTGACACTTAAAATACAATAATCATAAGTTCATAGGCCAATCATTGACGGCATTTCAAGCAAAATCCACCAATCATAGACAAGAAACTAGAACGTAAGTACTAACGTTAACTTAGCAAGTTTTGAAAGTATGGCCCCTGAATATTAACTATATGTTAATTTTGTAGTTGGTTCTTAAATTTGCAATAAGTTCCGTCATTTGATCATTTGTCACTCACACTTGCCAGTCCCTGACATGTACACATCTGAGTACCCTGACCACTTGCCAGTCCCTGACATGTACACATGTACCTACCTATGTAAGGCCATGTACACATGTATATAAGTTCTGTGTGTGCACAGGAGTGCGTGTGTGGACGGCTGTGCACGTCGCTGACGATAGGGGCGTACAGCTTGAGCCAGGACCCCGGCAACACCTACCTGCTCACAAGCGCCCGCCTGGGCTGGGGCGCGCTACGCAGGCTGCGCGACGCCGGCAAGACGGCCACCCTCGCTGCCTGGGGCTATCATGGGGAGGAACGTTAGCCTAGGGCAGGGGGAGCTGGTGGAGGATGTCAGGGGGAGCTGTTAGTTAGCAAGGTCTTGATTAAGGTAACGATGCTGACAGGGAATTTATGAGAGGAGAAGTTTTGGAGGGAAACGTTGATGAAGGGGAACCAATGACAGAGGAGAGATGCCTGAGGGGAACCTTCAACCGTCTACCGCCTGACATGAGTAACCGGAGCAATATTGTCACAAGCCTACTTCCCAAAAAGGATAGGTTCTATTGAGCACAAAATGACTTGCACTGATGGTTGCCGCCACGTACAACTTTAAAATGTTCTCTGTTGCGTACAAACGTCCTCAGGCTGCTACACTCAATATTTTCCGTATAATTTAAGTTGAAAGTTATGTTCCCGGAGAGTGACATACGGCGGTAAAGGGTTAAGTTGAAAGTTATGTTCCCGGAGAGTGACATACGGCGGTAAAGGGTTAAGTTGAAAGTTATGTTCCCGGAGAGTGACATACGGCGGTAGAGGGTTAAGTTGAAAGTTATGTTCCCGGAGAGTGACATACGGCGGTAGAGGGTTAAGTTGAAAGTTATGTTCCCGGAGAGTGACATACGGCGGTTGGGAGAAACTGGTAAAGAATGGAACTTGCGAGGGAGAAGAGAACCTTGTAACCTTGTTTAGGAAGAGTAATGAGAACTTTGTTCAGGAAGAGAGTTAGCTAGGTTCTGATTATGTCACAAGGCGCTTGGTCAGAGCACACCTTGATGAGCATGAAGATAGTAACGTGGAAACCTTAAACACGAGGCAGTTTGATGAGGCGAGATTCTTGCGACGGAGGGACCATAGCGAAGGTAATTTTGGTAGGGATTTTTACAAGGTAAATCCTGAGAAAGAAGAACTGAAGAAGCTAAATTACAGCAAGGGGCATATGGTAGTCATATGCCTCCATTTACTACCCAAATGAATTATTGTCGGTAATTTTAACAGGATGAATGTTCCTCGCAATAAATTCGATACTATGAAGCAATAACTAACATGGGTAACGACAGACGTGGAAATTTGTTAAACAATTTTCTCACCGCGATGTGTCCATAATAAATTATTTTGACTATTCAACATGATAATCACGTATAAATTAGCATTTGTTGCAAGTTATTTACAAAAAATTTTGTGCTGTATTCGTTCAGAAGTAAAATGATTAGAGTAGGCATGAAAATTGACATTGATAATTTTTCATTTAGTGTTAAATGATGCATAAACAAAGGTTTCCATTATTTTCTGGGAGTTTATTCGTCTAGAAATCTTTATGATTTGTTTGAAAATGTGGATGATTTTTATTAACTTACGTGGTTTTGTATGAACCGTAGTTATGTTGAAATAATGCCAATGTTCTACGTATCCCTGAACAGCATTGAGTGTCTCTGAAATTGTTGATGTTGATTTTCGTGGTTATGTTGTTATTCTTCATTAATCTTCACGTCCCATGTTGAAAAATTCTGTTGATTTTTTGAAATGGTTGACCATTTCTGTATGCTTGTAACGGATATTCAACTAATAGCAAGTTTAAGACGACGTCGCTACTATTTCAAGTCACAACGACGAATGTAATGAACGGCAATAAACAGCAATATTATGGCTAAATGTTAGAACAATTGTTCTAAGTATATATAGTGTTTTCTCTGCCTGTGGGACATCATAATATTGAGAAGTGTATTCGTCCAAGGTTCTCATATTTTGGGAGAAAGTTTCGCTATCTAGAATGACTCATGCCAGAGTCAACATTCCGTTATTCCTGCAACTTTTTTCAATGTTCTAATTCAATTATATTTTTATCATTCTGTGAATTAAAACCATGTCATGCATAATTATTTTCTCACATACTATGATCGAGAAATAACTCAAGACTGAAAGCTAGATTACCGAACGTTTCTTTTTATACTTATTTAAATGCTGTACCGGGTTCTAATGGAGCAATAAGGTACCCCAATTCCTACATTGTCGTTATAAAGTCTGATTTTAATACGAATAAAGTGCAAAATATGACTGTCTTTGTCGCAGAAACGAGTTCCCATTTTAACGCATGCGGTAAAGTGACAAATTTAACCTCGTCATCTTAAATGAAGGTAGTAATTTAATAAATAAATGAAGGTAGTACTTAATGTTCTTGCTTTCGATTTGACGCAGGCAGTGAAGTGACGCCTGAACCTCGTCATCTTAGATGACGGTAGCAAATTTGTAGTAATTTATGTTCTTGCTTGCTAGTTAATTATTGAAGTATATTCTCTTAGTTGATTATTGAAGTATATTCTCTTAGTTAATTATTGACCAACGCTGCAACATTAATCTTCACTCAATTTCATCCTCACCATTTCAGTAAGCAGAAGTGATGTTCTCAATACAAGTTTATTGAAGTTTTGTGCAACGTACAAATCACGTCATTGCATTTGCAAGTAAATATCGATATTATATTCATGCTAACAATACATCACACGAAAATGATTAACGAGCATAAACGTTTATTCGAAACTAATGTGCGCTATAGGCCTTTAAATGGCCTGAAGGATACGGTTACCTGAAGGATACGGTTACCTGAAGGATACCGTTCAAGAATCTAAATTTTCACGCCCCCACTCCACGCCAGTGCAGTCCCAGGTCGTACGATTCCCCACTCGTTACTTAACGATAACTAGAAATTTTGGATCAGTAAGATAGTCTGCTATTAAAATCGAATCAACTTAAAAAAAAAACTTGAATTCGAAGATGAAACGTACTTGATGAACTCATTGTATATTAGGAAAATGGTCTGCTATTAAAATCAAATGAACTTTAGAAAAAGGGCTTGAATTTGACGATGAAACATACACGATGAAGTCATTATAGATTTGGAAAATGGTCTGCTATTATAAGCAAATAAACTTAAAAAAAAGACGAATTTGGAGATGAAACATACATGATGAAGTCATGTTATCTTTGTTACTGTTTTATCCTAGTAATGTTTAAAGTAGCATGCATGAAAAATGTTATATTTTTCATGATCAAAGTAATGAAAGTAGAAAAAGTTTGCCGTGAACCGAGGACTGCCAAATTGAGCCAATTATTCAGAAGGCATCATCATGAGCGAGCAACTCGGATATTGATCATTGAAGATTCGAAAAACTGAGTGACATTAATTTTATATATTCAACGTTTAGACGCGCACAGTTACTACAAGTTTACAATGGAATGAACATGGACATCGAGGCTCACTATGAAAAAAGTTATTAGAGGGAATGTAAAGTAAACTAATTACCCTAGCAACTAAACCTTCCACAATACTGTCGTTACTGCTGTGAAGTTCAAGTTGTTCACACGAGATTCAAGAATTATTGTTATCTTCTATTATATATATTGTCTTATACGATAAATATGCTTCTAAAATGGGTACCAAGTTTTTGTGGATAAATAGGACGTTGTAAAGAGGCCCACGTTTCCTACGTCAGAGTTGCACCGTTAATTTATAAGAAGCAACACAGTATAAATCTATCATTACAGAACAAGATTCGTAGCGGCCTTCACAACTTAGCCAGCAAGAAATAAAAACGTATTTTGTATCCGGACAACGCGACTTGTTCTTAAAAAATGCAATCGCTTTCTTCATGCAAATAAGATTTAAAGATAATGCATTTCAGAAATATATGATTTTAAGATAATACATCAAAGAAATATATGATATTAAGATGATACATAAAAGAAATATACGATATCAAGATAAAACATTATTGAAATATAAGATTTTAAGATAGTACATCAAAGAAATATACGATTTCAAGATAAAACATTAAAGAAATATACGAAATTAAGATACTACATTAAAAAAATATACCTACCATATGATGATAATACAATAAAGAAATATACGAGTTTCAGATACTTAGTACATTAAAGAAATGCAATCAATAATTAATATAATAATAATCATATTGCAATCAAAAATTTGATTGCAATATGCGACTGTGAAGTAATACATCTAAAAGAACTATAAGTAATAAAGGACGGAAATATTGACAACTTGAGAGAAAGTTCATACCTGAGAAGAGAGACAAAAACCATGGTATTATAATGGTGAAGTTATACGGTTAAATATATATCTTACAATTATGAAGTACGTGAAATTTCAACATCAATAAGAAAAAGATAAAAACAAATGAATTGAAATTAGAGAACAACGATAGCGAAATAAAATGGATTGATTTAATTGCTTAATTCATCGCATATATAAAAGTTCCTGGTCTTGATACCTCTGGAAAATTTCGGTACGTTAATTTAGATCTAAATTCCAATGAGTGTAAATACATGGATTTAAATTTGGTGTACATTAGTTTAGTAATCTATATGAGCTATTTCAAATAGAAGATGAGAAAAGATGTTATCACAAAAGTTCGATCTCAGTAGCATCCTTCAGATAGCTTTAACATCACGGGACTGAAATCACATATATAAAGAAAATATTTGAAAGAACCTTTAAGAATAATACAATATATCACAGACAGTATATAGGATCATATAAACAGTATCCAGTAACTCAGAGGACACTTGTGGTTGCTGGCAAACCTCGTTAATGTCATTAGGTGTCCGCAATGTATATTGAAATTTAATTCTATAATATAATATATAATGGTTAATATTAAAGGTCGATATAGGCATAAGTCAGGAATTTGTTATTGAAAAAGTTTGTTAAAATAAAGCTCGAAGTTTAAGACATATGTAGTGATGTTAAGTAAGCTTCCAATTAACATCAATGCACTGTAGGTTTTGACGTAATTTTTTTTATAATAAATACAATCTATGTAAACCCGTTGACATTTGTATCAAAATCTTTGTATAGGAGAGGCCATATGGATAAACAAATTGTAAATCTTTCAATAATTCAACTAAGTTCGAAGTTCAGTTATACAATCTTTGACAACCATAATCATCAATCACACATTTACGGTACTAGATCTACAGTAAATAATTTCAACCAAACGGATTATGATGAAAATTTTGTTGCTTATGAAAAAGGCTGTAAACAATTTAATAATTTAATAATAATCGATGATGGAACCAGAAATAAATAACACAAGCCATGGGGAGGCATGAGGCAGACTGAGAGGACAAGTCTGTCTAAAAGTCACCTATAGCAGCGCCGTTAACTCGTTATACCTGGACACTATAAATCCTCGAATATTTAAAATTAACATTTTCATGCAAATAAGCAAACACTTTTTTATGGATACAATAGGCAAATGAGCCAACATAAGTTACCTATGCATTGAGAAAAAAAAACATAGAAGTATAGAATATGGTGAGAAAACAAAATATATTCATTTCGTACAACTCGCATCTTGTCTTGATGCACACAAGATCTCTTATTTGGTCAGTGCAAGTGATAACTGCAAAACAAAAATAAATTTAAATTATATATATATAGGTTTATTGATAGACAACATTAGGTATTAAAGCTGTGATCAATGTTATTGTCGGTAACGCTTCTTTCAACTACGTGTACGGTTAATACTGAAGACCAGGCACGGTTATAGGTCTTTGCAGGGGGGCACGAGAAGAGAAGTTTTTATGGTGAAAGCAGGAATCGAATTTCCTCTTCTGAGTCTATTAATCATTCAGGTTTATAATTGACATAACCTAGTCCATTAACAGAGTTTTGAGTCTGGCCTAAAAAGAAATTGGTAACAATGATTAGAATTTGGTCACTTTATCAATAAACTTTGAGCAATTTGTTTGAGTCTATTAATCATTCGGGTTTTTAATTGACAAAACCTTGCCCATTAACAGATTTCTGAGTCTGGCCTAAAAAGAAATTGGTAACAATGATTAGAATTTGGTCACATTTATCAATAAGTTCAAAGCAATTTGAGCGTGTAAGTGTAGGCTAAACCGCAACAGAAAGTGCCTTCAAAACCACCCACAATACTGTAACACACAAAACTCATAACTATATCTAACACATCGTGTTTATGACCCAAGAAATATTTCACCTCTCATTTTTTATTGGACTTGAATTAAAAAAGAATTTTAGCGGGGAAAAGTTCATGAGATCGTGTTTGATGTTGTGAAAAATGTACATGTAAAAACCCCCATATGTCATGAACACTTCAGCGTCCAGCTCTACGCATACTTTGCCTTTGACATTACTAGTTTATGAATGAAGATCATTTGTTCAATAGGACAAATAAATCTCATTTAATTTTGCGCTGCGCTATGACCAGATTGACAAATATATTACCAGTGAAATTTTTTCAATGAATACATTTCAGCAAGATGGTATTTTGCACTCTTCTGAAGAGTGGTCGTTAAAGGGCCAAGTCCAAGTGCCATCAAGTCCAAGGGACATCAAGTCCAAAAGCCAGCAAATCCAAAAGCCAGCAAGTCCAAAGGCCATCAAGTCTAAGGGTAATCAAATCAAAGTGCCATCAAGTACAAGTGCCATAAGTCCAAGTGCCATCCAGTCCAAGTGCCATCAAGTCCAAAGGCCATCAAGTCCAAATGCCATGAAGTCCAAGAGCCATTAAACCCAAAGGCATCAAGTCCAAGGACCATCAAGTCCAAGAGCCATCAAGTCCAAGAACCATCAAGACCAAGCGCCATAAAGTCCAAAGGGCCGTCAGGTCCAAATGCCATTAAGTCCAAGGGCCATCAAGTCCAAGTGCCATCAAGTCCAAAGGCCATCAAGTCCAAGTGCCATCAAGTTCAAGTGCCATCAAGTCCAAATGCCATGAAGTCTAAGTGCCATGAAGTCCAAGTGCCATCAAGCCCAAAGGCATCAAGTCCAAGGACCATCAAGTCCAAGTGCCATCAGGCCCAAGTGCCATTAAATCCAAGGGCCATTAAATCCAAGGGCCATCAAGTCCAAGTGCCATCAAGTCCAAAGGTCATCAAGTCCAAGTGCCATCAAGTCCAAGAGCCATCAAGTCCAAGTGCCATCAAGTCCAAGGGCCATCAAGTCCAAAGGCCATCAAGTCCAAGTGCCATCAAGACCAAGTGCCATCAAATCCAAAGGCCATCAAGTCCAAGAGCCATCAAACCCAAAGGCCATCAAGTCCAAGAGCCATCAAACCCAAAGGCCATCAAGTCCAAGTGCCATCAAACCCAAAGGCCATCAAGTCCAAGTGCCATCAAACCCAAAGGCCATCAAGTCTAATAAAATCGTGAGGACTTGGAGCCTCAGTAGCGCGGGAGGTCGTCGTACGGGGCCTCAGTTGTGGCCTCTTCCTGCAGGCTGGCCTCAGCTTGGCTCAGCAGGGAGCTCATTTTGTACGACTGCTCATTAATATAAAAAATAATTATCATATCACTACATAATATCATTAAATCATTTTATGTAGTGCCTTGTTTAGTAATCACTGTACAAATAATTTCGTAAATTTACAATTACCTTCTCGGAACAGTAAAAAAAATAGTAGAAAATCGATCATTAAAAATATACAGCTTTGTAAACATTACAATTGATTTCAAGAACACGCTCACTTGAGGGACAATATATACTCTTATTTTTATTTAACATTTTCATCAGACTTAGCGTAGTCTCTTATACACATCTAGATGTGTATAAGAGACAGATGTAAACCCGATCATTAAAGTTTTGAAGCCAACACCTGTCTGCCATTTTTTTAGTCAAATTTTTTAATACTGCAAATATTTTTCTACTACAGACCTTTGCAGAAGTACTTCTCCAAAATATCATTTTTAAACATTTTATCAAGGATTTTTTAGAGCTAGTAAAGATGTGTATAAGAGACAGAGACTACAGAGAAGATCAAAAAGTAGAATAACTTGTTTTTGTCTTTGAAAAATACCATGACCATTCCATTTCTCAATCATTCTTGCCTGGCGGCTGGCCCTGCTCCCGCTGGGCTGCTGCGGGCCAGTGCCTGCATCAGCTGCTTGTGAGAACATTAACATTTTGATATAAATAGCAGAATTTAACAATGACATCACCCAAATATGGCCATTACTTTGTGTCAGGAATTTAAAGGGAAAGGGACTGCAGCGTGCAGCCCAATGTGCAAATCAACCCTCAAACAATTGATTAGGGTAAACGCAGTATATTCTGACAATGACCGACATCGTGGGTAATTCCAACACCTCTCTAGTTTTTCCTTTATATTAAGCTTTGTCTTAGTTCCACGCATTTGTTGATGGTTGAAAATTGAAATAGTGACGTCATACCTTTGCGCGCCAAACNAGATGTGTATAAGAGACAGCACGCTACATGCACGTTATATTAGTGACAGTCACGCTACATGCACGTTATATTAGTGACTGTCACGCTGCATGCACGTCATATTAGTGACAGTCACGCTGCATGCACGCCATATTAGTGACAGTCACGCATGAGATTTACAATCACAATCAAATGCAATAATTTACTAATGGAAGAAGGGAGTTACTGTGTTAATGAATTATTGGAGGGGAGTTATGGCATTAATTAAATAATGGAAGGATGTTACTATATTAATGGATCAATAGAGGGGAGTTCTTTGTTAATGGATTTAATTGATGATAGTGTCGGGATAAGATTGATATCAGAGCTTGATGGTGAGGGTGGAGGGGTGAGCTACCTGAGGTAGGCAGGGTGGAGGGGTGAGGATGGAGGGGTGAGTTACCTAAGGGAGGGAGGGTGGAGGGGTGAGTTACCTAAGGGAGGGAGGGTAGAGGGGTGAGCTACCTGAGGGAGGGAG